TTTGTATTATACGACTGAGTCTTGGAGAACAGCATATGCCGAGACTATATTTCCTCTACCGAATGAAGCCGAGTGGGAAGTTCCCGAGCACATTCTCCCATTTCATAATTTGTTACCACCAACAGTTGAATCGCGTGGTCCTGGACGTCCAAGTACATCTAGAATACCATCTACCGGAGAGTTTCCTCGACCGCGTAGGTGTGGTCGGTGCAGAGCCGTAGGGCATACTCAGCAATTTTGTACTAGTCAAATTCCCGTAAATGACGACTAGATAGGTACGTAAAATGAATAATATTCAAATTCTCCTAAATGACGACTAGACAGGTACGTGAAATGAATAATATTTCCTTTTACTATACACTGTTCAATATTTGTTATTTATAAATTTTCAATATACAAAAAATAGTTCCACACTCGGCATACGGGTAAACTAACAAAAAATAATTAAATTTCCAATTTGAATGTTATATTACATTGAACACAAATTTATAATTATTTCAGAATTACCAAAATAATGAAATTTCCAATTTGAATGTTATATACATTGAACACAAATTTACAATTATTTCAAAATAACAAAAAATAATGAAATTTCCAATTTGAATGTTATATACATTGAACACAAATTTACAATTATTTCAAAATAACAAAAAATAATGAAATTTCCAATTTGAATGTTATATACATTGAACACAAATTTACAATTATTTCAAAATAACAAAAAATAATGAAATTTCCAATTTGAATGTTATATACATTGAACACAAATTTACAATTATTTCATAATTACAAAAATAATTAAATTTACAATTAAAATGTTACATATGTATAACTGAAATTTATGGGTCAGCATTAAATTCGAACAAATTACATGCTAGCTTCTTTCTCCAGTTCTGTATCCACGACTGATTGATTTCATCAACCTTATGTCCTATACTTAAAAATTCAACGTATTTAATGGCAAATATGCCACAGTCGCCGTTGCAATTGAACAAGAATGAATCAGTTTAGTACTGTGTAAATAAAAACTAAATCTGAAAGATGAAAACAACAACGTTCAAACACTTACCTTACGGACTGTCGCGCTGTCGTCGTGTTCCGAACGATCCGCAATCTGTCATGTACATTTATCCCTGCTCGTCTGGCTATCATAGGAACAATGACAGCCACATACTCCAGATTTTGCTCCAACTAGCCTTGTGTCAAACATGAATGATCTGGGTCGTACACATATATAGTCGAGTCAGCAAAAACGATCTCCAGCGTAACATAGTGTTTATTGATGCACGCTGGAATGTACATATGTGTACAACCCTCCCATGATTTTCCCCCGACACTCGGTAACAGTCCTATAACCCACTTGAGCATATATTCCGGCACCGTGTACTCGTTACCCATATGTGCAAGCGACTGATACTCTATGGTAACGGCACCCAGGAACTCGGTGTTTAATATGACTCGACCATGGATATCAAATGATTTTGGATGTCTTTGAGCTCGATCTCGCAGCAAGTCCATGGCCAGGTCGATGTGCTGCAGCAGGAAACACCGAAAAAGTATGAGTTATTCATTTAATAAACACAGGGTCACATATACATAAAAAACACGAAATGAATAGTTCACTTACATCATCAGCGAGCCAAGCTCCCACAGTGGTGATATCGTGGAACCACTTGTAA